TTTAAAAACCCCCCCCCCCCCCGGCCTGAGAAGAATGCACACCACACAATGGACTAAACCAAATATAGCTAAGCGCGACAATATTATCCAGGGACATTAATAGTGACTAACTCTTGCAACAAAGAAGAGGAATATGACAAGCCTACTTGCTACTGTTAGGTTGGCATTCTATCGAATATTGGAGGTACATGACATACTCGATTAAGCTCAATTTTAACCCCAACAAACGAGCAATTCACCTATTGCAACATCAAAATCGATCACATAACAAAGTATAGTTAAAAACCTATTTACCCACATAATTACACCCTCAAAATCTAATATTAACCTAGAGATACGTTCACCCACTTAGATGAGAAATTTTTAAATACTAGAATAAAAAAGAAGAAGCAATAAGTTGAATTAATCTTGAATCTGACCCACAATAAAGAAAATTAAGAAACCTCGACTATTTTGACCCACAATAGCAAAGAAAACTAATGTAGACCAAGCGAATGAAATTGGTCAAAGAACGTTATGTTACAGTGCTTGAGGGCTAACATTGGATGCCTTCAAAGCAAAAAAAGAAAAACAAAAGCTTTGCCATGGGAGGTTAGGTCGTCTGGAGGCGATTAAGGAAATTTTTGCCGGAGGATTTTTTTGGTTTATCCCAAATTTATAAAAAAAAAAGTAAAAAAACTTACAGCGATAGTTTCTCCCACAACTACCAGCGACAATTTTAGCGAGGAACGGGATCGAAGAGATGGAAGAAACTTTGGTTATGTGTCCCTTTTTTGCTATTTCTTAGCGTCAACCTCTCGGCTTTCTCTTCCTTCTTTCAAGTAGTATGAACGACCAAATCAAAACCCTAATTGAAAAATTATAGAAATCTCAATCGCGCCCAAATAGTATGAACGCCAAATTGGTTCTCATCTTTAATTTATCGAATTTGGTTATGGATTGAGGTTTAATTCCATAAAGAATCCTTCTTTTTGCCTTATAGGATCTGGGTATTCTTTGGTTTATGTTTACCGAGAGATAATGGTTAGAAATCAACTTATTTATTTTGCCTAACTTATTGATTAAAAGTTAATTAATTCTTATCACATAAAAAATTATTAATAAATAAAGAAAAAAATAGAATTTAAAAGAAGAGAGGTTTTGGCGAGTTTCATGAAAATTGATAGGGGAAATTATGAGGGATTAATAACCGTTCCAATTGAATTCTTTTTCAAGATTCGTTGCAATAGATATATCTATTGAAACGGTGCAGATAAACGTTGCAAAACCAGACACCAATAAGAACGGTTCCCACTCAACTGCAATGGTTCTATAGTTAAAGTCTGCCGGTAGTATCCATTTCTTTTTGCAACGGTTACAACCATTGCAATAACCTATCTATAGTAACGGTTTCGGAACAGTAGCAAAAACATCCGTTGCCATAGGCCCATTTTCTAGTAGTGTGACAATCTCGTGGATATAAACTCGAGCCAACTGCTCAGAAGAATAAGTAGTCATCACAGGAATGAAATGAGCTGACTTGGTCAGCCTATCTACAATCACCCAAACTACATCAAACTTCCGTTGAGTCCGTGGGAGTCCAACAACGAAATACATAATGATCCGCTCCTATTTCCACTCCGAAATCTCTAATTTCTAAAGCAACCCACCTGGCCATTGATGCTCATACTTCACCTACTAGTAATTAGACACTGGGCTACATATTCCACTATGTCCTTTTTCATTTTCCTCCACTAATAATGCTGCCTCAAGTCCTGATACATCTTTGCGCCACCCAGATGAATTGAGTACCATAAACTGTGAGCCTCCTGGAGAATCAACTCACGCAAACCATCTACATTGGGCATATACAGCCTGACCTTCATCTTCAACGCACCATTATCTCCAATAGTGACCTCCTTAGCATTACCGTGCTGAACCGTGTCCTTAAGGACAAGTAGACGGGGGTCATCATACTGACACTCCCTGATACGATCATAAAGAGAAGACTGAGAGACCACACAAGACAACACTCAACTCGACTCGGAAATATCCAATCTGACAAACTGGTTGTCCAAGGCCTGAACATCCAATACTAATAGACTTTTTGCTGCTGGTAGATTTGCTAAGCTCCCCAAACTCTTCGCCCTGTGACTTATGGCATCGGCCACCACATTGGCCTTCCTAGGATGGTACAAAATGGTAATATCATAATCTATACGCAACTCCAACCACCTCCGCTGACGCAAGTTAAGATCCTTTTTCTTGAATAGATGCTGCAAACTCCGATGATCCGTGTAGATCTCACAAAGGACACCATATAAATAGTGCCGCCAAATCTTCAAGACATGAACAATAGCTGCTAACTCAAGGTTGTGGATAGGATAGCTCCTTTCGTGCACCTTCAATTGTATGGATGCGTAGGTAATCACCCTACGGTCCTGCATCAACACCGTACCGAGACCAACCCGCGACACATAACAATATACAGTATAAGATCCTAAACCTTTAGGTAATACCAATACTGAGGATGTAGTCAAAGCTGTCTTGAGCTTCTGAAAGCTCTCCTCACACTGCTTTGTCCACCTGAACTGAGCACCCTTTTAGGTCTGCCTGGCCATAGGTGCTGCAATAAATGAGAAACCCTCTACAAATCGACGGTAATACTCGACCAGCCCAAGAAAACTCTAGGTCTCCGTAGCTGAGGACGGTCTGGGCCAACTCTACACTGCTTCAACATTCTTTCGATCCACTTTGATCTCATAACTTGATACTACATGACCCAAGAATGCCATTGAGTCTTGTCAAAACTCACACTTCGGAAATTTTGCATATAACTCCTTTTCTCTCAAGGTCTGAAGCACAGTCCTCAGGTGTTGCTTATGATCCTCCTGAGTCCGGGAGTACACCAGAATGGCGTCAATGAATACGATGAAAGAGTCAAGATAGGGCTGGAACACACTTTGCATCAAGTGCATGAATGTTGATGGGGCATTGGTCATCCCAAATGATATCACAAGGAACTCGTAGTGACCATACCGAGTCCTGAAAGCAGTCTTTAGGATATCTGGTTCTCGAATCTTCAACTGATGATAGCCTTAACACAAGTCAATCTTGGAAAACACCCTATCACCATGTAGCTGATAAAATAGATCATTAATACGAGGCAATGGATACATGTTCTTCAATGTAACTCTGTTCAACTGGCGATAATCAATGCACATACGCATAAAACAATCCTTCTTCTTCACAAACAAGACTGGAGCACCCCCAGGGTAACATAGTGGGCCAAATGAAGACCTTATCAAGAAATTTATGTAATTGTTCTTTCAACTCCTTCAACTCAGGAAGAGCCATACGATATGGAGGAATAAAGATGGACTGAGTGCCCGATAACAAATTAATACCAATGTCAATATCTCTGTTGGGCGGCATGCCTGGAAGATCAGTTGGAAATACATCATGATAATCCCTCACTACTGGAACTGACTCAACTCTAGGGGTATCAATACTGGCATCTCTTACATAAGCTAGATACGTGTCACACCCCTTCTCAACCATTCTTTGAGCTTTAAGAAATGAAATAACTCTGGTGGGAGTATAATCTAAGGTACCTCTCCACTCTAACTGTGGTAAACCTAGCGTAGCCAGCGTCATGGTCTTGGCGTGCCAATCAAGAATAGCATAATGGGGCGACAACTAGTCCATTCCCAAAATAATATCAAAGTCTACCATGTTGATCAATAATAAATCGGCTATGGTCTTAAAACCACTAAGAACAACCAAACACGACCAATACACACGGTCAACAACAATAGAATCTCCCACAAGTGTAGACATATAAACATGAGAACTCAAAGAATCATGAGATACGCCCAAATATGGGGAAAAATAAAAGGACACATAGGAATAAGTGGAGCTTGGATCAAATAAGACCGACGCATCTCTATGACAGACCGTAACAATACCTGTAATGACATAGTCAAAAGAAATGGTCTCTATACGAGCAGGAAGAGTATAATATCTGGCCTGGCCTGCCCCTCTAGGGCGACCTCTACCTCCCCGACCTCCACCTCGAGAGGGATGAGCAGGTGGAGTGGTAGCTGGTGCTATAATCATATATTGAGGACCCGATGGAGCACGTGGTACTTGGTAAGTCTGTGTAGGTGTACCCCTCTTAATTGTAAGGCAATCCCTTACCATATGGCGAGTATCGCCATACTCAAAATAAGCTCTCGGAGGGCGTGGCTATTGTGACTGGCTCGGGCCAGGTTGGCTGGACTGACCACTGAAAGCACCCCGTGCGAGAGGTACACTAGATACTGGTGGTGCATAATAAGGCTCCTGGGCCTAGGAGTAGCCAGAATACCACTGGCGGCTGGAAGTGCTGAGTGAACAGGGCGACTTACATATCCCCCACCATGACGAACTGTAGCTAGGGCACGAGTACCACTATAAGTGTTAGACTCTTGAGACCTCTTGGTCTCTCTCTCCTCTCTCTCCTGAGCAAACATGCCCTCTACTCTCCTAGCAATGTCCACAACCTTTTGGTAGGAAATATCCCTCTCCAACTCTCGAGCCATGCTAATCCTGATGCTGGGATGAAGCCCCTTAATAAACCGACGGACCCTCTCTCGAACTGTAGCAACCAAGGAGGAGCATGCTAGCTAAATCATTTAAGCGAACCTCATACTCTGACACAGTCATAGCACCCTAGTTGCAACAGCTCAAACTCGGCACACCATGCATCTCTGAGACTCTGGGAAATATACTCCCTCAAGAACATATCCGAGAATTGAGTCCAAGTAAGTGAAGCTACCTCAGCCAGACTACCCAACTCATAAGCACGCCACCATTGATAGGCTGCTCTTCTAAGCTGGAACCCAATGAAAGAAATCCCACTCGACTCTGTTACACCCACAGTAAGGAGGATATAATGTCACTCCTCATGAAAACCCTAGGCATCCTATGATGCCAATCCACTGAAAGTATGAGGTGGTACTTCTTGTATCTCTCAAGCTTGAGCTGATCCTCCTTAGAGACTGCTGCCCTAACCTCGGGCTAAACTAGGGCTACCGGATGTATCGGTATGATCTCTAGAACCTGGTCGACCTGAACCCGTTGCTCTAGAGTACAAGCATTGAAAGTCAGTGCCCCTCCCCTAGCTTGAGATATGGCAGGAGCAAGTGGAATCAATCCAACCTGAGCCAAGGTGCTAAACATGCTTAGGTGTGCAAGGGTCTCCTAAAGAGCTGGTGTAGTAACATGCGTCTCAGATGCGTGTGCTCCGACTGTAGCTACTAGTGGCTCTTCTGTAGCAACTAGTGCGGGTGCTCTGGCTGCACCATATGGATGTCCTCGGCCTCTACCCCGGCCCCGACCTCTCGCGGCTCTGTCGGGGGCGCGGGTGCCTGGTCATCAAATCTGCTTGTATGTGTCCTCACCATATGTGAGAGAATAGAAAACAGAAGTTTAGAATTTCAAATCCAACAATTTCGCACGACAAGGAATCAAAAGAAGTGAAATTTTCCTAAGAGTTCCATAGCCTCCCGAATATAAGCACACACGTCTCTATACTGATCCGCGAGACTCTATTAAAACCTATTTGTGACTCACGACACCTATGAACCTAGAGCTCCGATACCAACTTATCACGACTCAAATCTCCCTCCGTAAGATGTCGTGACGACACCTAGTCTCTACGACTAGGTAAGCCTAAACAATTGCGGAAATAAAAAAATAGAAATAAAAAATTAATAACTAATTGCAACATATAATAACATAACCGATAACAATGTCGCTCGGCATGTACAATAACCAACTCTCTAGCAATACACAGTATTCCCAAATCTCGGAACATCACAAGTCACAAGCTACAGAAGGAAACTAGTATGTCTATACACCAGAGTCTAAGAAAATAAATATGGAAGGTAAATGACATAAGGGGAATAGAGGGGGACTCTGAGGTCTGCGGACGCGGCAAATATACCTTGAAGTCTCCAAACTGTCACTGCTCACTGATGATGTGGATGATAATAAGTGTCTGGATCTGCACATAAAACATG